TATAAAAGAGAGGCACCCCCATGGGTCTAAGGTATGTTTTTATACTCAAGCTTGTGAGTTTAGTACTTGATTTATCTTTGAGAGATATACTGACTTGATCGTCGGAGTGCCCCCGGGTGGTCGAAACCACCGCGGGATTCTTATATTTCTGTTACAGGTCAGTCAGGTGCCATCTATTCTGCCAGTGCTCTCCAGCTGGTTACTAAGCGGGCAGTGTGGTCGGAAAAGCACCCACACATAAATTATATTAATGATTCGTGCATCAAATTTATTTAACAAATTGACCGGTGAGTTTTTTTTTTTTTTTTAGATTGTAACAAACAGATAGCAACAAGGCACACTAAAAAGCAGCATCAACAGCTACAACTTCAAACAAGGCCTGCGGGACCTCCTCCATCCACACGAGCTGGTGGTCCAAACCTCTCGCCATCGGAGCTAGACCATGCGCCAACATATTGCCCATTCGCCCCACATGGCAAACTTGAAAGTGCCGAAGCAATTTACTAGCAGCCACCACTTGTGACACAAGATGACCATATTCTGATAAAAGCTCGACACCCTCCTGCAAAGCTTTGACAATATTTAAAGAATCCCCCTGTAGAATAATATCAGAAAAGCCCAAATATTTTGCTAGCTCAATTGCCTTGGCTGCAGTAAATACTTCAGCACAGTCGGCATCTACCCAGAATGGTAATTGCTCTGACATTGCAGCCATAACTTCACCCATCGAATTTCGAATAACGACACCAACCCCAACTGTTTGCAATTCTTTGAATCTTGCCCCATCAAAATTAACCTTGAATCAACCCTCTGCCGGAGCACACCAGCGAACAACTCTATTCCACAGCAATGGACCCTGAATTCGTTGTTGTGCTTGAGCAAAATCACTAACCAAATTGCAAACCATGGCCACCGTTGCCTCAGCCGAAGCATGGGTATCACAAAAGATTGCTTGGTTGTGCCGCATCCAAAGACCCCAACACAGAGCAACAAACAAATCCAGAGTAGACTCATTCCCATGGAACATGACCTGCCAAAACCACTCCTTAAAGTCCTGATTATGGGCCCATTGTACCAGATTCCTCAATGGACTTAAAGTCCACACCTGGCCCGCAACATCACAATAACAAAGGCAATGCATCAATGATTCCCTGTCAACCCCACAGCTAGAACACATTACATCAATAGGAATTCGTCGGCTTCGCAACAAAGTCTTTACCGGTAGAATATCATTACACGCCTTCCATGCAAATACCTTAATTTTATTTGGTAGATTAAGCTGCCAAATTTTCTGCCACAGCTTATCCCAACATGATCTACCCACAAAAGACTCCGTTGAGTTAGCACTAATAATATTGCTGCATAAGTAATAGGCCAAACGAACAGAGAAGGCCCCATGCTTCGTATAGTGCCAGACCAGCATGTCCTTGGGAAGATCCGAGCTTAATGGAATTTGCCGAATAACCTCCGCATCTAGTGGAAGAAAATTGCTTCGAATAAGTTCCTCATTCCAACATTTTCGATCACGATCAATAAGTAAACTGACATTGGAATCAGCAGGCAAATTATATGGTGGAGCAATTATCTGGAATGTAGTTGGCCTAGGAATCCATTTATCATCAAGAATCCGGATACTCTCACCACATCCAACCCGCCAGCGAACCCTTGTTGCCAATAAAGGCTGAGAATGGATGATGCTCCTCCACGTATAAGACGGGTTGGTGCCAATGTCTGCCTTCAAAAAAGAAGTATGTGGGAAATACTTTGCTTTCAATAGCTGGCCTAGTAGAGAAGTCGATCACTAACATTTTACACATTTCGAACAAGCCCCTCCATTGATAAATCCACATTATGCTCCTAACTCTCCTGCACAACCAATTCACAGCCCGCATTGAGTAACCACATAGCTTCAAATCGATAGATTCTGGGCCGCTTTCTCTGAATCAAATCGCGAGCCTTCATCCCCTCAATATCCACTAAAATCGGCAAGTGGTCCGAAGTCGTGCATGGCAACGTATAAACCTTTGCATTTGGAAAAGATTGCTCCCATTCACCATTTGCAAAGGCCCGATCAAGACGCTCCTTAATTAAACCCAAATGCCAATTGTTACACCAAGTAAACTTGAGCCCAGAAAAACCCAAATCTACCAATGAACAATCTTCAATCGTCGGCCGAAACATATCAATATCAACACCGGTGAGTTAATACTTGTCAATCCAATTATAATGTGACTCAAACCCGCTCTTATACATACTTTGCACCTACCAACATACTATCTTCCTCTTACCCTAATACTATTAATCAATTGGCACTTGATTCTTATTTTCATTGTATATTTTTCATAATTTTTAATTTTGTGTATTAATTTATAAAATATGATTTTCAATAATACCATACATTTGATTAATTTATAAGTTTTGTGTCAAAATTTGGAAAAAAATAATCAAAATTTTAGTTTGAAATTGTAAAATAAATTAGGACAAATTTCACTTTGTCTCTTTATAATTTACTATGTATGCTATTTGCTCTCTTATTATTCATAAATAAGCACATAATCCATATGCTTTGTGGATTAAAGTGCACAGTTAAACTTTTTATCCAAGGTATAAGTGTGTAACATGTGTTTGGACATAATGAGATTATGTGCTTATATCCAATTGTCAAGATGTAGACTGCACACAAGTAAATTACATTTTGAGTCCTAAATGCCCATGATTTTACATAATGAGATTACTTATGTACAATATTACTGTAATGTTTTTGCTTAAGTCAGATACAATATAATCAGTGCAATTTAATCATAAATCACACAAGGTTATATAATATTTATTTTCAAATGTTAATAAGTAAATTGCATATAAACTAAGCTACATGGAGATTAAGTGTGTAGGAAAATCAGAAATAATACACAGTAGAAATAAACGAATTTGAGATATTTTTTACATTCAAAGAGAATCCATGTACTATGTGGATAAATTATGTGCTTTCATAATGAACTCAAACAATTCCCAACAGTGAGGTAAAACTATTAGGGCCTGTTTGTTTTCAGAGGTAGAATAAATGGGATTGTTAGTGAGATGAGATTGAGTAAAGAGATTAAGAAAAATTGTGTTTGTTTAATAACCACCAAATTAATAAGAATACTTATTTGGTTTGTCATTCTATGATGTGATTAACTATATGAAATTCTATAAATATCTTTGATGTTTTTGATATATTTTAATATTAAAAAATATATTTTATAAATATATATATTTTTTGGTACTATATTATTTATATATATTGAATAAAATTATATTATTATACTACTATAAAAACTATTTTATTTATGTAGATTAAGAAAATTATTTTATTTCAGTCCATCTGTAAATAGAAAAACTTCTTGAAAATACAAACTCTCAAATTCGTCTAGAAGATTAATTAAATTAATTTATGTTTGTAGATGACATTCTCACTGCTTTAAATTAAACAAGAAAGAGACTATAAAATTGTTGTTGCTACCAATAAGCTCAGAAAATATATTACAACAAAGCCCAAGAATTTATAATTGTATCCATAAATACCGTGAGTTAAAAGAAGAAAAAGAAAAATGAATGGATAAGAAATAGAAAAAAGTCATTGTCATGAGAGAGCTACACTGAAATTCATAACTGAAAACCAACTATAGAGGGCAAAATAGTCATTTACGTTGTAATAGCGACAGACTCATTTTTTAATACACTACTAATACCCTTGATCCATAGGATTCATAGTCCCAATTGTTGGGTCAGGAGGAGCCCGGATTGATGCAAACAAACACACACATGAGAGAAACACAGAGTTTACATGGTTCGGTAATAGCCTATGTTCACGGGCAGCAGAAATTCTATATATTTTTGGACTATTGATTTCTCACCACTCTCTTCTTCTTCAATTCGATGTTTGCATATCAAAATACAATTCATTGCTTATCTATCTATAGGCTTCCATCGAGGATGAGATGCACAAGCGGTGACGCCAAATTCACCGCATTCGAACGTG